TTTTCATCTCTGAACAATTTTCTTCTCAAAATTCATTTTTTGACACTCAACGTCAGTTTCTTAAATTTTATTTGTCTTTATTTTTTTACAGTCACTCTCACATGTATAACAGATATTATAAATATATACATTTTTCTTTCTTTTCTGAAACATATATCTGACAGACATTTTGGCATATCTTTGACAATGACATGCATAATTGTAAAATTTCATTTTCACAACTTCGGAGACTCAATTTTTTATTTACATAAAACATATTTTCTTTATTTCAATATTTTTTTAATTATCACAAACGTTCTTAGCAAATAAAATTTATAAAAAAAAAATTTTAATTGATTAATATTTGCATTTTTATCTAATTCAATTGAATATTTTATAAAATCACTTTCGGAATTTTTTTTCGCAAATCCTTCCGCATGATACAATATATTATATATATATACAATTTAGGTTCAACAATTTCATTCACAATTTTTGTATATATTCCCTATTCAGTTGTAATTCCGTTTTATGGGATTTTCGTAAATAGCAGAATATAATTTAAGTTTGATATGAAAAATTGATAAAATTTCGTAAACAGGTTTTTTTTGGGCTCGTTTAATTATTACGTAAGCATGTTTTAGGGAGGGAAAGTGGGTATTTAATTCCAATTAGTGTAATTACTTATGATTAATAATTAATTTATTAATTATAATTAATTAATAATTAAAAATTAATTAATTATAATTGAATAATATTATGGATTTATTTTTCCCAAAAAAAACTTCAAAGAATGAACTCGATATATCGAGTAGTTTCGATTTTCGATTGCTATAATGCTTCCTTTATATATATATACTAAACGTACTTCATTGTTACATGACGACAAACATTATTTTTAAACCCTTGACAGTCCATGACCCGTATAAGGCCGAACAAAAGTCGTGCCACCTTTGCGTCAAGACACTTTCCATCTTAGAAAATAATTAAAAAATAATAATTCCATTCAAGCTATTCGATTAGATTTAAAAGTTAATCAAAATGACGGATTCAATATAGCAAACATTTAAAAAAAAATTAATACGCTTTCGTTTGAAATTTGTTACTTTGAGAATTTTCGAGGTCAATGAATCCCGAATTTGAAGTACAATTTAAAAGTATCAAAATTAATACCAAAAATATCGAATTTATATAAAAATTTTGATTGAAAATTATCAAATTAAACACTAAAAATATTAAATTGATATAAAAATTTAGATCAATTTCATATTTTCATAATTTGAATTTTAGTTTAATAGAAAAGAAATTTTAAAATATTCAAAAAGAAAATTAAATTTTTGGCTACAAAAATATTTAAAGCTTACGTAATATTTGAATGAGCCCAAAAAAAATATTTTTCACAAATAATTTAAACGTGAGAAGTAACAACAAATCTAAAAAAAAAATACTTTTAACTTTAAAAAACTTATTTATATCACATTAATATATTTTATTTTAACTTTTTTTTTTAATACTCTTCAGTTTTAAATTATTTGACATAGAGGCCATTTTCATCGTGTGGATAAAAATCCTCCCGAGAGTTTAAAGGCACCTGCGTCTGCGCAGAATGTTTGTTTACAACTTCTACGCAGACGCATAACTTTCTCTAATCTCTCTGCGTCTGCGCAGAATGCTTGTTTAGTTTCTGCGCAGACGCACAATTGCCTTTAACTTGGATTTTTATCCACACGGTGAAAACGGAAAATATTGTTTTTGAAAATTTTTTTTGCAGAGCCTCCGAAGTATATTTAATTCTCGAGAATATTTTGATATAATATATACATAATTTTATAAATTTATATCTTTGTATATAAATTTTATAAACATCGCAAATAGTCATATATCCTTATGTACAGTGATGCCTCCTCAATTTTGCTCTTGTATGGAGAGATATGCGTATAGATATTACAATAATTTTAATTTATGTACACATAGAGGCTAAAAAGTTAATTGACATTTAATAGAATTATCAGATGATCCGAAAAGGATATTTAGTAATATCCAAAAAGGACACAAAACACTATTAAAAAATTTTTTTTTTTTAAACTTTAATAGTATATTAAAAATATTAGTTAAAATTATTTTAATTAATTCTTTAATTAGAAATTAATTTTTTTTTAAGAATATATCTTATTTTATATTTTTTTTTGTTTGTCTATTTAAAAATATTGCTTAAATGTACCTTATATTCCGTTAATAGACTCTGGTAGGCAGCGCATGGAAACGCTAATATTAAACTTATTTCCAAAATACATACGTTTCCTTTTTCATCAGTCATTTATCGCTATTATATATTATATTGTGTAATCGTTATGGCATTATGTAATTATTTGTTTATTATGGCTTACAATTACACTTTACTGCTGATCCACTCGATAAATCAGCCTTGATTCTACTTGTTTTTATTTTTTTAATTTATTTCGATTGTTTGCAATTTTTTTTTACCTATACAATATAATGTAAGAATACGGAAAAAAAATTTTACTGGAACAGCGATATGTTTCACTAAAACAGCGAAAGTTTTCGTTATTCTAGAGAAACGTATCGCTGATTCAGATAAAGATTTATTTTCCGTGTAAAAAAAAAAGAAAAATCGTCATAGAGGCCGTTTTCACCGTTTGGATAAATTTAATCCTCCGAGAGGTTAAAGGAAGTTCTGCGTCTGCGCAGAAGCTGTAAACATTCTGCGCAGACGCAGAATTGCCTTTTTAACCACTCGGAGGATTAAATTTATCCAAACGATGAAAACGGCCTCGTAGAATTAAATCATTTTAAAACAAATAGAAAAGAAACAAGCCTAGGTTATTATTTATAAACTACTTGTATACATATGGATTTGAAATTATTAATCGTCAGTAATAAATCCCTTCGTTTTTCTCGTTCTGGTGAGTTTTTTTTTGTCATACAAAAATAATTTCCCAAAACTTTCTAGGAAATAAAAAATACTGAGATTTCATTTTTTCGGAACTTCGGATATACGTTTATAAGGCACATAAATAATTCCTTATTATGATTTTCAAATAAAGTAAAAAGAAATTATACTTTTTTTTTTTTTTATTAATATAAACCAATTTTCATAAAAAGGCACGAGAAATTGAAACTTTTTTTTAAATCACAGAACACATGTTTTGTTTCTTTTATATATATATATCAATTAAATTTTTTTCTTATAAAAAATATTTTCAATTTTTAAAAACTTTTTTCAGTAACAGTAAATCACGATTTCCAATAAAAAATAGATTTTAATTTCTATATATTAAAGGTATTGAATAAAATATAATAATTAAAAATTAATTTTAAGTAGCTGAATTTTTAACTACGATTTTTTTTTATTGGTAAATATATAATTCAACTTATTGTGATACGCAAGTAATGCCTAAAGAAAATTTTTTTAATTCTATATTAATTCTGTCATTGCTTCGCCCTTCCTCACTTTAAAAATATACATATCATGAACATAACTGTTATTAAATTATTATTATACATATTTATTTACAGAAAAAAACCAATCATGGAACAAAATTTATGCATAAAACTCTCTATTTTCGTCATATACGTTTTTTTTTTCATTTTGAGCAATTTCATTAATTTCACATTGCCCAACCGTTAAAATATGGAGTGAGGTAAAATATTTTCTAGAGTTTGGTTTTTCTTAAAATAATTTATTAAAATTTTGTCAATTGTTCTAAACTCTAAATTTATCTAAGAGAATTGCTATTACCTTCGAAAAATCGGAAGTTCCCAACGTTTAAAAAAAAATTTAAAAATTCTAATTTTTTAAAGTATTTTATTTATCAGTTGGAAATAACAAAACATTTTTTTTTTGCTATTGCTTTCCAAGTTGAGAAAAATTATTTTTCAAATAAAAAATTAATAAATTTTTTTTTCGTTGACCGCATCAACGTTGTGAACTTCACCATCATGAAATAGCGACTATGCTAATCATTTTACTGATAACAAATATTGTTGAGTTACTTCATTTTCTTTGGAAAGTTAAATATTAAAAGAAACTCCAAATACTTTTTTCTAATATAGATTCATTAGCAACCTTTAAATCAAAAAATTGTTTTTTTTTCAAATTTTTGATTCGTCAAAGAAACGCATAAATTTTTCGCATAAAAATAATTAATTATAATTTTATTTTTGAAAAAGTAGTTAATTAAAAATAATTATTTTTTTTTCAATAAATTTTTATTTTTCCAATTAAAATTTGACTGATTTTTTCTTTTTATACGAATTTTTACATAAAAAAAATTTTTAGCTACTGAATTTTTGCTAGAATTTTTATTTTACAGTCATTTTATTTACATGAATTTTTATTTAAAATAATTTAAATTTATGCGAATTTTAATTTTACAGAATTTTCATTCAATCGAATTTTATATGATTCGAATTTTTATAAATGGCAGAAATTTCAATTCACCTAATTTTATTTTTGACCGAATTTTTTACTGATATAATTTTTATTTGTCCGAATTTTTTAACTGATAGAATGTTCATTTGTCCGAAATTACAAATGGCCGAACAAGCAATCGACAGAAAGATTTTGGCGCAATTTTTAAAATTGACCAATCACGATTTTTGTGATAATTTCTAATTGGTCAATTTTAAAAATTGCGTCAAAATCTTTCTGTTGATTGTTTATTCGGACATTTGTATAATTTTGGAGAAATAAAAATTCGGTGTCTTAAAAATTCGAAGAAATAAAAATTTGGACAAATTAAAATTCGGTGAATTGATATTTGTTATTTAAAAATTCGAATCACATAAAATTCGATTGAATGGGAATTATATTAAAATTCTAAAAAAAAATTTTTCAGTAAAAATTCGTATATAAAAAGAAATTATATCAAATTTTTAAAATTCAAAAATTTTTCAATTCATCTAAAAAATATACCTATATTTAATAAAAAATTTTGAAATGAAAATTCTAATTAATGATTTTTATGGGATAATCATGCGTTCCCAAAGAATTAAAAAAAAATTATTAATTACAGCTTTTTATTAGAAAAAGATATTTAAAAACAATAATTTAAAAATATTTTGTTTTAAATAAATTTTGAAATGAAAATGTAATTAAATATAAACTTAATTACAAAAATTAAAAATGAATTTTTAAAAAGCATTTGAATTTATAAAGTAGAAAATGTGAGAATTTTATCTGTCTATAATTAAAATTTTGTTATACAAATGAATTATCTAGTTATTTTATAAAATTTAAAAAAAAATATGAATCCAGATAAATTTATAGAATCAGAACTTGACCAATAATTTGCAAAACTCATTAAAAAAGGAAAAGTAGAAAAGTATTTCCTAATCTTTAAGAATTGTTTGGATAAGAAAGAAATAAAAAAGAATTTAATTTTTATTCCGAATACAAAAATATTTATCCCGAACAAATAAAATGGAAAATATAAAATTGAAATTTGTTTTAATTTTTTTTCCATTTTTTCGTAAAGAATGCATAAGTGTCATTTTCGCTTAACCAATTGATAGTGAAAATGATTCTTACGGTTTTTAGGGAGTTGAGCCCTTTTTGAAAACGATTTAATAAAATTAGAATTTGTTTCATAATAATTAAATCCCAAGGGAAAATTAAAACAACTTTTTTCTATTTTGCCTTTTCTAATGAGGTATGTAATTTTTTTTTTAATTTTGATTATTATAATTCTGAATTAGCAGAACTCCATTTTTACACGTGGACTTTTTTTTGTGACTAAATTCTAGAAAATTAAAGCTCGAAATATAATTTCTGATATGATTGCTTTTTAATTCTATTTAGGTGTAATGAGGACTCGCTGGATACCTAACAAAGGCGCTCCTAACGTGAGGAATATCACAGTAGGAACTGTGCTGCGTTCTCCAGGAGACAGGTACCCTTAGACTGAGTTCAAGGGCATAATCGTAGCCCCTGCCTTCATTCAAATTGCAAATGCCCTGGCAATTATTATTGTTGTTACCATTAATCATCGAACGATGATGATTTGAATCGTCGTTGGGTTTGCTGATTGGATTATCCAAATAAGGCTTGAAGAGAATAGCATCCTTCTTTGAAGACGGTGTGGAAGAAATAACTGGTGCAGATTGTACTGTACTGGTGACAAGTTCAATTTGTGCCGGAATTTTTGGTTTCACTAGGCACAATGGTGTTTCCTGTGGTGGAAGTTCCGATTCCAAACAAAGCTTTTTTGGAGATGGTGTCATTGGATAACAGCATGATAAACTAGATGCTGATCTTTTTGATGAAAATTCCTGATTCGTTCCCAATTCAGGGGAATAATATTTCCCTTGTGTTGTCTCGTATTGAGGATTTTCAGTGCATATTGTGCACGATGCAGATTCGTGTAATAAATATGGAACAGTATCGCAGCAATAAACTGGTCCTGCGACTCTAAGATCCACTGGGGTTTCTTCAATTGGATTAGAGCCGAGACGTTGTGAATTTCCACCGCGGCGTGCAATTTCCTCTCTTAATTCCATTTCTTGACCTAGCCATTTTTGTACTTGACGACGATTTATACCAAATTTTCTGGCAGTTGCTCGCTGATTACCAGAGACAATAACGTCACGATGAAAAGCATCGAGAACGTTAATTTTAAAAAGCAGGGAAAATGATCTTCTTCTATTTAGGTCACCGGGTTGATAGGAAGTACTGTCCAATTCACTGTCGGAGCAACTGCTTGTTGATCGGCTGGAACTAACTGGACCTTGTGGACTCGAAGGTCCGGAATAATCGCCTTCATGAGGGGGATGATCTTCTTTAAATTCTACCTCGCCTTCTATCTTTGTATTCTCTTGGCAACAAGGTGCCTTATCTGTTTGATAAGGATATAGGGGTAGTGTTGGTTCGAAGTGAGTCGGTGAGTTGGTAGTTGTCTGAGGTGGTAAAAACGAAGCACTGGGTGATTCAGGCATCTCGTACATCCCTGGCGTCGCCGCTGAGTCTGGACTCACTCGTTCCGCCTTTATCTCCGCCGGTGCGTGCAGTACTGCACGAGTAATTCCAGTATCCACGTTCTCATAATTTGATTCCTCATATCGATAGGATAGTTGATACATTTCACGAAATCCAGTTTCAGGATAATATTTTTTTTCAATATCCTCCGTATATCCAACATGGAATTCAGTTGTGAGGGGTGAATTTCGAGAGGGTGGATGCGAAGGTGGGGGAATCGGCAACTCGTCGCCGTGCAGTCTGGCGAGACTGAGGTTCAAGGCCGGCGATGTTGAAGCAATGTCGGATCTTGTATTTTCCTCTAGTTTCAAAATTCCACCAGTAGTTCCCAATTCGGGACAACTACTACGTAAATTATCCTCGCACTGTAACCATTTTTGTATTTGTCTTCGATGAATTCCATATTTTCTTGCAGTTGCCCGCTGATTACCACGACAGTCTATATCATTTCTGTAGGAATCTAATACTTTCAACTTGAAAGCTGGCGCGAATATCCTTCGACTACCCATCACACCCACTGTTTTCCTAACGTTTTGCTGATTCTTTCCAATCACCATTTTCACAGAACTTCCTTCACTAATCACATCGTTAACACCATGAGCCATAATGTTTTCGCGCACTGAATTCTTAGATAAAGAAATTTAAAAAAGAGACGCGCGAATACAATTTAACGCGTAACATTGCACGAAGCAGCCTGATCGCTTGGCGCACGGAGTTCCTTTTAGGACTTGGTAGATGCCGTAACTAATTTTCATCCCCACTCGATTGGCAGCGTCTGCTTCCCACTGAATGTCTTTCCCCTCCTCATTACCAACTTTACCCCACCGCACGCCCTATTCGCCTCTCACTTCTGTGGAACTTAATATTACCATCCCCCTTCTCTTTCCAGTCAACTCCTCTCACTGTCTTCCCCTTCTTTTCTGATGGGATAAAGTGTGTATGTACTTGAGTGTGTATTGCAGTATCTTATTATATAGTTTATTCTTACATTTACGCTACCGACCCAACATCTAGCAAAGTTCTCTTTCGGTTTCTCCGACGGTAAACGTCACACTGGCGTGACGTCTCGGCGCCATGTTGTCTGTCTTGCTGCCTTATATGTATTACATATAACAGTCCAATACACGCAAAGAAAAACAACTGCCGACTCAGATTGAAACTACAATTATTATAGTTAAATACAAAGATATTTAGAATTTGATCTTTCTGAAAAGTTTTATTCCCTATTCCCCTATCAGAAACTAATTGATAACGTTCAAAAGTACAACTTCTATTCTATAAAGAACAAATCTCATTTATTAGAATAATTTCGATACATTATATTTCTTGTACAATCTCAAGTAACCTTGATGTTTATGCAATATTATGTTAAAGAATGCGAATCGAGTGGAACTTTGTTAATCAATATAATTTTCCTTTATTTTCCAACAACAAAATTTCTTATTCTATTCTAAATAATTACAATATGTATATATAAAAAAAATTACTTTTGGAGAATTTGCAGAAAGAGGATTAGAAAGAATTTTGCAGAATTATTTGCTGGAATATTAATGTTCCAGAAAATTAAAACGGTCAAATATCAATTTAACAGAAATTAAACGGAAACTTTAAATTTGACCAATCAGAAATTATCAAGAAAATTGTGATTGCGGTCAAATTTGAAGTTTCCGCGACGAATTATTTTTGGTAAATTGATATTCGACCGTTTTAATTTTCTGGAACTAATTCCAGCAACTAATTCTGCAAAATTAATATTCTTTCTATAATCCTCTTTCTGCAAAATTAAGATTCTTTTAAATGACAATTCTGCAAAATTAATATTCTACAAGACATAAAGTTTCGATCAAATTAAATTTCTGTCAAATATTCGAACAAATAAATATAGGTACTGCAAAATTAATATTCTATATATAAGATTTTATCAAATCATAATTATAAAAAATTTGGTTCAGAGCATATATTCATGCGTTCCGAAATTTTCAGGTTTCGTGATATAGTTATGGCAAATTACTGAAAAAAATTAATTTAGCTGCATATTTTTACGATATAAAAATAAATCTTTTCTTGAGCACTAATTGAAAAATATGAAATTGATACTGAAAATATCAAATTGATACAAATTTTTTCTATCAATTTGATATTTATGGTATCAATTTGATACTTTTAAATTAATGTGATTCAGTATCATTTTAAGTTTTCCATCATATTGCTAAAATATTGAAATATAAAAAAAAATAAATAAATATAAATATTGAAACATTATCCCAATATTGAGACAAAATTGTAGCATATATATGATTTGCTATTTGGAATTAAATAAAAATTAACGTACCAATAAAAATTTAAATCAAATAAATGTTAGACCGAATAAAAGTTTGACGATTGTGACAATTTCGGCCAAATTTTATTTCATTAGAAATTAATATATTCTTTTAAATGAACTGCGCATTCTGCTAATAAACGAATTTTTGCTGATTCAAATTTAGAGAATACAGTATTCCATTAATAGGAGGAGAATGTGATAAACTATACCATACTGAATATGGTTAAAGAACGAAATTTTATTCCCCTGTTTAATATAAGAAAAAAAATTACGTATTTTACTCAAAATTATGAAAAAACTTACAATTAGTTATTTGGAAAAATTTATAATTAAAATGGTTTTAACTTAATACTTGTTGCTTCTTTTGTTAAATCGTATATCAACACAAAGAAAATCTTATTAAATATCAATATTTATTTTTAAAAAATATCAAGGAGAGATTACATAAAATTCTACGTACAAAAAGCAATGTAATTTAATTATTATTGCGGTAATGTGTATAGAAAAGAATACAATAATCAATGTCGAGAAAATAAGTATGATTTTCAGAATTTTAAAAAATTTGAAAGATTTTTAAAAACACTGAAAAAATTTTATCCAAAAATTTAATACCAGTGAATATTGATAAATATTGCAATTAATATTGTGAATATTGCAAAGTTTAGTGAAAATTCTGTAAAGATTTATATGTCTCGATTACAATAAATGTTTAGTGTGAAATTTTCCTGAACATTTATTCAAGTGAGACATTTAAATCTTTACACAATTTTCACTAAACATTGCAATTAAATACTCCGCACATTTCAGATAAGTCTTTAGGAAAGTTTCGGTGCTTTGGGGAAATGTTCCAAATGATTCATGATTATTAAAAAAAAAAATTGATTGTTTAATGGAGAAATTTTCAAAATTTCAAATAAAATAATCGGAATTTCCCCTGGGAATTTTACTATACGTGGGATATTTTTTTTATCCTAATGATTATTGAAACTACAGTCAATCGCAAAATAATTATGTAATTAAAATAACAATGGCATGTAGAAAACATCTTCTATTATAATAAGTTAATTCTATATAAAGATTTTCATATTTGTGGTTGAAAATTAGTACTTGAAAAATTCAGCAGAATTTTGATGGAGATGATATTTCCACCTTTGGAAATTGTATATAATAGAAGTTAGTATTTAATTAATTTATTACAATATTTTTCCTCTGACCAAAATGAACCGAGTTTTAATTTAACTCGGTTTAAACTCAAGTCCACATAATCCGCCAGGATTTCCAGTAATTATCGCAATAATTATGCCAGTAATTATTTTTCATAAAAGAACTCATAAACTTTTCAATATTTGTATACTGTCCATGACAGTTGTACTTTGATACAAATTTTAGGTATCAAAAAATAATTACAATTTTCCTATCATTTCGAAAAAATGATCCATTTAATGAGGATCAAGCTGATACAATATCAATATGTTGCTTTTATCCAAATACACTCAGAAAAAAGATACATCTGAACCAAATGTACCATTTTTTTATATTTACCCAATTTTTTGGTTAGTTCAAACAAAATTTGTTTAATTCAAATAAATATTTATTTAATCTAAATAACAGTTTGGTTTATTTTAATAAATTTTTTGAACAAAGAAAAAATTTGATTGAGCTAAATAAACGTTTGGTTTATACAACCAAAAGAAACTTTTAACTGTTAACTGTTTTTAGCCATTGTCCAAAATCCGTAAAAAGTAAAAACCCTAATAACACAAGATATCTTGGGATATATTGATAATATCCCGCAGATAACCTAGGGATGTCCTATGGATATCAAAAGGATCTCTTAAGGATATCCAAAAAATCGGCGGTTTGGATATCCTTTGGATATCCCATGTATATCTGAGGATATCCAAGGATATCTTTTGGATATCTCTATAGACTTTCATAAATGTCCTCCAGATATCCCATAGATATCGTTAGGATATCCTACAGATATCATCAGGATATCCCATAGATATCGTCAGGATATCTCACAGATATTTTCAGGATATTCTCAGTATATCTTCTGGATGTCAAGAAGATATTCTCAGGATACTGTTTTTAAAGTCATTATGAGACTACGAGTGAGAATATTCTGTGAATTAAATTTTATGTAAATAAAATAAAATGCAACTTGTTTTTCGAGAAAAAGTTGTTTAATTTGAAAAATTATTAACTAATTTTTTTCTCATTCGTGATTCATTCCTTTATTCATATGCTTAATATTGTCAGAAAATAAATTGGCTTTAAACAATATAAATTCTTCCCCGCAAATAACGAATAACTATTAATATTAATTATACATTAAGTGCATGAGTTTATTTAAAAACTTTGAAAAATGCCTTTCAAATCTTCATTTAAAATAAATTAGAAGCTCATAAGATTTTTCTTTTTATTATATTATTATTCATTATATTAGCTTAATAATTTTACCCTTCAAAAATATATGTTGAGATGTTAAATATCCCGTGAATATCCTAAGAATATCCCACGGACATCCTGAGGATATCCCATGGATATCCTGCGATATAATATCCAATAGATATTTTGTGGATATCTTAGGGATATCCTATGGATGTCCTGTTGATGTCCCACAGACCGGCGGTTTTGATATCCTAGGGATATCCTGTTGATGTCCCACAGACCGGCGGTTTGGATATCCTAGGGATATCCCAAGATATCCTGGGGACCATTCTAGGATATCGACCATTGATATGAATATCCTATGGATATCCTTTTGTTATGAGGGATAAAGATTACTCAAACTTTAATACAAACGGAATAATTAAAAAATACTTTTGCTAATGAAATCCCAATCAAATAATTTGCCCCCATAGCACCGAAACTTTCCTAAAAATTTCCTAAAGATTTATTTGAAAGATTCCGAATATTTCAAATAAATTTTTAGGAAATCTTTAGGAAAGTTTTCGGTACTATGGGGGTGTTCATAAGTACAAAAACCCTTTTTCTACTTTGATTTTCAAAGACAATTCTTTTGCACTTAATATGTTTCTTAATTTTTCTTCATTATAATATAAGGGAATTAAATTTATAAAATGCTGAGTTGAACAAAGAACAACCTTTGCCTAATCTCTACCGTTATAACATGAAATGATATATTTTTAATGCAAAGTCTTATGTCTAAAAACAGAGGTTTTTGAATGAGATTTTAAGAGGTTCTTGCGCATATATACGTCGTAAAATGAGATCATGTTGTTTTTGTGGCGTGAGTCGACAGTTAATATGTTTAGCTTCCCGCGTAGTTGCCAAGTCTCAGTAAGAAGGCATGACGCAAACTGTGGTATGCCGACAAAGAGAAGAGGTAAAGGCAGTTCTCGTAAATTTTCACCACTTATACCCTGAGGAAACACCAACCACAAAGATATTATAAAAGTTAAAACTTTCGAAGTTTCGAACCATCTCAAATATTAACTATTTAAAATTCTTTTCTTTTTT